GTGCGCTACCAATGGTGATTAAATCTTAACGATCGCTTAGCTCATCAAAATAAGTTTGCTTATTCCAGCTGCTGTGAGAAAAGGCCATTAATGATCTGCCACCTGCAGGATCTTCACATGCGATATAGCCCACTAGCCGGGACAACTTCTTTATGTTTACAGGCGTGACGTAATGACGTGGCAGCATGCTCGAATTTCCCGTGAATTCCAACCAGTACCACTCAAATTAGAAAACATTATTATAAGCTTACTGTTGTAAATCGGGCTAAAGTAAGGCGATGATAGCTTTGTGGCTGGTTATGTACTTTCTCAAAAATTTATTTTGGATCATTTTTAACCAAAAAAAAGTTACGGACTGCAGCTTTAAGCAAGTTAAGAAACCGTTGGGATCCAAAAGAAATTCTCCAACCCCAGGTGTTTACAAACCGAATACAAGCACAATTATGATTCACTATGATTCATGACTTCACTTACAAGCATCTTTATTGGGATATAACCATTCTGTCCCAATAAATGGACTCCATTAACCATCGAGTTAGGAGGGAGGGAGGAGGGAGGCGTTGGTACTTATAGATGGCAAGTGATGGGATGCCCTCGTTAGCGCAGGGCTCACTGAGCCAGATGACAGACAGGCCGCTGGGGTCATGTGACAACATTACTCACTCCAGTGCCCAGCAAGACAGAAGAGGGAATCGAGGACATAGAGAGGCCGAGGGAACAAGGGGGAAACCACAAAGCAATTACTTTTCCGCATCTCCACTAGAGCTCATGTGTTTGATGATTACCAGCGTTTATTTACATAGTGGTCCATTTACAAGCTTAAACGGGATCAAACGAGCCAACGTTTGGAGATAAATGAGAGAGAAGAGAGACGGAGAAAGACATTTTGAACAAGCCTTCGTGAGGACCTTCCCACATTAAAGAGCTCGAGACAGGCAGGTGAGCCGAGACAGAGAGCTGCATTTCTTTCAACTTCTGCCACTTCAAACGGCCCCATGAGGAGGTGACACCAGGCACTCAGCACCACAAACAAAGGTGCAGGGGCCACGAGGGGTAGAAGCCCAAGAAAAAAGACCCTTTGTGTCCCTGTTTTTGTAAAGAGTCACGCAGTAACTATTTCGCTCAGCATGATACATAACAGCGCTTCTAAACTAACGGACCACGATCCAGTTCACTTCTGAATTAACCAGTTATACAATATAAGAGTTTGGACAGCAAAATAAAAACATGAAAATTAAGAAACGTTTCTCATGTATTCTGTTCATGTATTCTCAAATTCATCTGTCACTTGGTAGTAGCCTGTCAAATTACACAGGTGCCAACATGCACTTGTTGACTTTGAATAAAACTAAAATAATAGAAAATATGACCCAGATGACATTAAATATGATTTCAAACAAATATAAACATGGTTTGTTCCAATTAGAATGTATTTTTATGAGATGAAAAATTGGTAGCTGAGAGTATGAAACTAGCAGAACTCAAGGCATAAATAAATCAATATTTCATCATCATTTAATAATAAAATAATAAAATCAGTTTTATAAAATCATTTATATATATATACTTTTGTTTTGACACTTTTGTTTACTTATGTATGATACATAATTGTGGCTCTGTGTTGAATCACCATCTAATGTAAAATCTAGTTCCTGAAGCCAAACCAGTTGAGAAACTTAAGATAATTCCTCCCCAAATAATATTTTCATATAAATCAATTTATGTTCTTGATGTAGGGATGTTTAGATGAACTAACACTGCTCTAATAAACCATTACAGTCAGCAGAGCAGGAGGAATAATGCTGGAGTATTAATAGATGTGAAGCGCTAGTTAAAACGGGAGGTCTGTTTCACTAATGAGTAATGAAGCTTAACACTGACATGAACTCTTTCATGCCCTTGTGGCTTTAATCAGCCGATGTGAGAACAACCAACAAACGCTGCTCGCTCTCCTTCCTCCGCAGGGCTTCACGTACTGCACGGCAGTCCCACAGTTAATGAGAATGAGAAAGGTTTCTGCTTTCCCAGCCACTAGTCTGATTGCATACTGCCCACCTCTGTTAACATTTGATTCACTCAGAAAGCTTTGTTCTAGAAGTTTCCCTGTACTTAAAGTGTTAAAATGAAGGAGAAACGGACCCCCTCCTTCTGCAGCGTCTTTTGTGTTGGTCTAAACCCAACACTCTCTAAAACTCCCTGACCAGTGACCCACTCACCCGCATCGTAAAGAGGTTTGGGGGTCATGGGTTCACAACAAGGTGATCCGCGGGTGGCATTCGGTTTCAAAGGCTTGATACTTCACCTCGGATCTCAGCTCTCAAAGATCGAGCAGCAGTGAACTAAATGCGGCTAATTAGCATAGCAATCGAGAAGTGAAAGAAAACAAGTGAAAGGCATCGCAACACTTATGGTGTGTGCACATCAAAAGCAAAATTAATTATTAGAGTGAGTAGATTACATACAAAGTCAATGCAAAGATGCGAACAGACGTGAATTCGCGCAGAGCGATGTGAATGACGTGAATTGGGCGACGCCTTTGTTGCATAAGTTGAAAAATGTGAACACGAGCAGAAAATTTGCATGACGTGTTGTCGCGCTAGCCAATCAGCGAAGAGCTTATTGACATGTTCAGTTTGACACGTCCGGTTGTATCAGAAAATGTTTTTTATTGTTTTTATTAGTGCGTGAAAAATATCCCGCGAGTAATCTAGAGCGAGTAACGTGATGCAAATATTCACTTCACTTGGTGTGAACACACCATTACACTACTACACACACTATATTGGGATTTCATGAAGAACTGTAGGGTTTTCTTTTACAGTCATGTGAGATTAAATAAATACCCCTCAATGAACCTGATTCCGTGTTTAGGCAGCTAATGTCATGGACAAGAAGGAAACCAGCTACGCAAGCTCACATTACCATCCTCTTCAGCTTTGACATTTCAGTTTAATGCACAACTGACCGCCAGACAAAAACACAGGCATGAAAGCGTAGGGAAAGTATCTTA